TCTCAACCGAATCATTCGTCAAAGCGTAATGGATTGTGGGTAATATTAGCCATAGAGTGTGCACAGATCCACATGTCAAAAATCGACCTAAAATAGTAGACTATCCGGGGACTTTTGCCATCCTCTTTTCAACACTATGCTTTGGGACACACTAATTCTAATCTCACATACTATTTAGGATGGATAGCATGAACACTGGGACGCAGGGACTGTACCGGAGCTTGATTCATTTTGCCAAAACCAAGTGACCTGTGACGTCCGAAGCTTCGTTTTCGCACACAATCATGTGACTGTTTCGTATTTTGATTCAAATAACGCGAACCCCTTGCACAGGTTTCAAGTGTCATTCACTTCTTTAATAAAAAATAAATCATAATACGAATAAATATTTACATGTGTAGTTCTGTGCATGTTCAGTTTGTATTAATCCCCACTTCCCAAGCAATTCAACTGACAATTCTACAATAATCTTCATTTATTTTAATCATATATACGCCTATATGAGCTATGCTTATTTTTTCATAAATGTATTAACAAACTCATTTATTCATACTTTGTATAAATACAATGACATTTTTATCTTTTATTGCTTTATATGGTTTTCGTAGCACATATGAAACAGTCCAAAATTGCTGGGATGTCTGGGACGCAAAGGCACCTTTTTCCTTTTCTATTTATTTATTTTACAAAAAGTGACTGGTGAATTTATGCCATGACACAGCAGACTCTGTCAAACAACAAAACATATGGGAAGTGAAACATTTAAAAAACTTTATAAGCCAAATATGCCCGAAATATACCCCAGCAACTTAAAACTGGTTTTGTGGTCCAGGGTCACATATGGTTAGTTGCAGTTTATCATTTGTTCAATATTTTTCCTGCCATCCCATTCTCAGAGCTGACCTGTGACCCACCTGTGGTGATGACTGTTCTATAGGATCCCTTACATGTGCATTCACCCTTTGAGTGATCTATTGTCCTCAAGGGCACAGAGTGAATGCTGGATGATATCCTTTAGCTGATGATTGGAGATATGTCTGGAGGAGATGACAGCTCTCACTTCATCTGAGAGCTGAAAAAGAGAGAAAGAGAATGAAAGAGAGAGTGCTCATGGCCAGCGCCCTGTTAAGATGCGATTAGAAAACCTGTCAGAAGTGAAGGGTACTCCAAAGAAGCATCATACTGCCAGAGCTGAAGTGACACAGTGAATTCTAGAGTGAAGACACTGTCTGTGTCTCTGTCTGTCTGTCTGTCTGTGTGTGTGTGTGTGTGTGTGTGTGCCAGTACGAGACTGTTTTACAATATCAGGCACATCAGCGCCTTGAAATACACTGACAAGAAATGGATCTGCTTTTGTGAGTGTGTGAGCGAGCAAGGAGAGAGAGAAAACAAAGAGAGTTTGCACCATGCACAAGAGGATATAGAAATTCCACAGACGTGCTTGGTATTCAGTCTTCATAATCAGTGTCTGTGCATCCAGTGACACGAATGAGAAATTGCTCCTTTCTTTTACGACTCTCTCGATGCTGTCAGAAATTATCACAAATAATTGTACACACAGGAAATTAAGAAATATGACAAAAATGACAAATGCATGCATATTATGTGGAGGAAAAGATATTCAGGAGTGTCGAGGGAGGACTTAAGCAAACTCAGTGTGATTTACTATGGCGTTTAGTACATGCAGGAACATTTTGCCTGGAACACAAAGAGGAGAGGGAGGAATATGAATGTTTGGGGTATTTAATGTTATGATTGGATGGGAAACACTGCTATTTGTAGCAGAGGGTTATTTCATGTGTTTATAGCTTATTATATTATTATGTCTGTCCCTTAGTGGCACATTTTAAATAACGTTTTATATTTGCACAGAGAACAAGTCTGCTTTTCTTGTCGATAATATACTAGGGAGTATTTTGTCTAAAATCCACTTTGCTTCTGGCTTGATGTTCATAGTAATTTGTTGTGATGACAGAATATCATTTTTCATTCTTAAATATCGCAGCATTTTCATCATTCAAGGGCTTCCTGTACGCGCCTCAATCTCTCCAAGCACTAGTGGAAAAAGCATCACTAGAGGAATACATTAAATCAAATACTTTTCATAAAACTTTCAGTGAAAATATTAAATATCACACTTACAGTGTGGTATTATACAGGAAGCTCCATACAACACTGTAGCCCAGGAACAATGTTTTACATAGTAATAAATTACACACTTTTTCAGTTCAGACAGACTAGTGGAAAAAGCATCACTAGAGGAATACATTAAATCAAATACTTTTCATTATAAAACTTTCAGTGAAAATATTAAATATCACACTTACAGTGTGGTATTATACAGGAAGCTCCAGACAACACTGTAGCCCAGGAACAATGTTTTACATAGTAATAAATTACACACTTTTTCAGTTCAGACAGTGATGAAAGACATGACTCATCGTTTGTTCAACATACATAACATCACGACAAGGCTAAACAATGTATTTTCCATTTGTTCATGATTAGGAACACTTTTAAAGTCAAGTAAGGAACAAAAGAAACATTGTAAGAGACCAAACAAGAGTTCATTAATGGAGTTATACCATTAGTTATACAACTAATAAACAAAAGTACCCTTTAAAATGGTTCAAGCAAAAAGGACAGAGCACCCTGCAGTGCAACATCTACTTTTAAAAGTGAACTTTTGCACATATTAGTGTATGCAAATATCCCTTCAAGGGGTTGGGGACTGTTAATGAAGTGTTTGGACTGAAACGAGGACAGAATGAGTGCTTCTGCTACACCTCATGTGCCATCTGCTCCAATGTATATTGTTAGAGCAGGACCGTCATACCTGAACCCTGGTAAAGCATTACTAAGGTGAGACTCCACTCTTCGGTTAAGCACAAAACAGTGCTCCAACAACTGCAGCACTCAAACAGATAGAAACAGAAAGAGATGAAGAACAGCAACAAAGTAAATTTAGATGAGGTCCCAAGTCCTGAGAGGCTTGGGTTTGTTAGCTTCTCCTCCTCCTGAACATGACACTCACACCTGCACACTAATTGGTCCCTACAAAGTGACTGAGAGCAACCTACTCTACTCTCTCTGACACACATCTGGGACGAGCTTAGCCCTCTCGTACACCGCGTGGGAGATAGCCTGCATGAACTGCAGACAATTACACACACACATACTGGCAGACATACACAAACATAGTTCATCTGCCAATGGACCCACTACATATTTCAGCAGAAGCACTGATCTTCATTAATGATAAATCTATCTTGTCTGCTTTAGTCTTCTGTGGCAATCAGACGGAATTGTGACTCAAACTTACAGGTCACACCAGTTCCACAGAGAAAATTTGAGCATGTTAATGTCTGTTAAAATTAGAAGCCTATGTGGTAGAGATGCGGATGTTGTCTTGACTGGAGGATTTTGACCAATTGAAAAGTTGAAGTTAAGTTTGTAAACATAAAAAAACAGTATATACAAAAGTAATATACAAGTTGAATTGTTTTGAGAAAAAAAAAATTATGATGAAATGAGAATGTGCGCTGCACTTCTTAATGCACCAAAAACTCTGATTCAACAGATTCACTGATTCAAACTAAAGCAGGCAGTATTAAGGTGAGGTCACATTTCAAGAAAATTCGTCATGGGCAAAATCCAGTCATTTCAATAGGAAAACCACGTGATCAAGATTTTTGCATGAGGAAGAAAGATTTCCCCATGCAGATTTTGCAACATTTTTAAGTTGTGAAACATGGATTTGTCACACTGACCAACAAAAAAGTGGCTTGGTTTGAAAGTGACTTCTGTAGGAGCTGTGCTTTATACATCACTACACTATTAACATTAGCCATTTTCACAGAAAATTTCACTAAAAAAAAATCCACTAATGTGACCACACCTTTAGACTAAATGATTACAGGCTAAGGAGTTGTTCACTGTGAAATGTACTGTTTTTAAAATGAGGATAATAATAATAAAACAAAACAAAAAAAAACCCTGGCTGTAGCTAAACTCTTCGTCCAACAAATGATGAACAGTTGTTGCTGTAAACACACTCGTTTGCTCTTTCCCTGGTTTCTTCTGATTGGTCCACTGTTTTGAAACTAACATTTATGAGCTGTGCTGTGTCAAACATTGAACTTCTCTTAACTTGACACTTGTCTTAAAAACATAGCGAGAAGTTAAAAAAAGCAGACAACCATCGAGAACACGTTTACATAGATGAAACTTTTAAAAAGCAGTGAAGTGGAACACTGTGTGAATCGGCCCTCAGTTCTGTATATCTGCTGGTAAACACACTGTTTCATGGATTCTACAGTACTTCAGATGTGTACAGTCTCACCAATGTACATCTGGTGCTCTTCAATGTAGCATACTGATGATGAACTGATGATGGAAGTCTCTTAATGGCTTTAACCGATGGTCACATCTCCAATCATAAGAGAACAGAGATATTTACAATATAAATGTTCTGCAGATTGGTTATTAAAAAAAACATAATTCTAATTATGATACACCACAGATGAAGCCAGAACCAGATCCAGTTTTCCAATGTACCAATGAGTTTCTCGAGTTCCTTGGATACCAGGCTCTTATTATCTCTCACTAGTCCAAGACACGGTCCACTGGAATGCCTCTTTCTTTACCACATCTCGCAAATATCAACTTTGTCCATAGTGGTCATCTGTATCACAATGATTTACAGATCTAAGAGAAGTGAGGAGGCTCGTGGGAAGATCTTCCTATTTCTGTCTTTTGGCAGAACAGGACTTGCAGCATTGTTGACCATAGAATTTGTGATTGCAAACACCATGCTGAGGCACCAGATGACACCAGCTGAAGAAGTCGATGCAAAGCTGGTCTTCTGTTAACGGAAAGACACATAATGACTATTATTTATTCTAAGCCTTAAAAACTACAGTGCTAACACAAACACTCAGCAGACAGGACAGGAAGATTAGATGTCTAGCAGAATAGAAATGGAACAGAACCCAGATTGGTTATGATGAGCTAGTTGCGCATACCTGCAGCCAAGGAGAGGAGTACCAGCCCAGAGTCACAGAAGTGCCACCCCTGTCTGGGCCAGGCTGGAGGATCTGGGGCGGTGGGGGCTCTGGGCAGGGGCCATTATTACAAGCTTGCTCAAGGTCTGCTTGGGGCTTACGGAGGTTCCTGCACCTCCTCACAGGGAACTCTGTGTAGCCTACTTGGGAGTCTTTCTCCCCACATTGCAGCTCTCTTCTCTTTACTCCTGCTCCACAGGAGGCCGAACACTGCATAAAACAACCAGACAATAAGAGAATAAGGTACATAAATATATATGTATACACACATAAATACTCCACTGACCCTTCGCTACAAGATCAACTCATTCCTCCATAGCAACGGGTTAACAATGCTGCTAGATTGGAGGAGAGACATACTGAAGTACAAATGCAGATCGGAAAGTGCCACTCAGCTGTCTGGAATTAAATACTTGTCTTTAAAAATACATGCACAGATGTTGATCTAACCACTTGCACACATGATAATGTTTGCATTGCAAGGCTGGAATACACTACATGACTTTTCACATCTAAAGAGATTTTAAAACACTAGGCACCATACACTTGCTGTAAGTACACTGAACAAAATTATAAACGCAACACTTTTGTTTTTGTCCCCATTTTTCATGAGCTGAACTCAAAGATTTAAGACTTTTTCTATTGTAAGGTCAAAAATTATACTTTTTCTATGTACACAAAAGGCCTATTTCTTTCAAATATTGTTCACAAATCTGTCTAAATCTGTGTTAGTGAGCACTTCTCCTTTGCCAAGTTAATCTACCCACCTCACAGGTTTGGCATATCAAGATGCTGATTAGACCGCATGATTATTGCACAGGTGTGCCTTAGGCTGACCACAATAAAAGGCCACTCTAAAATGTGCAGTTCCCTTTCGATACTTCACTCGTACTGCGTCTTGCTTAAGACGCATATGG